TTTTTTTTTTTTTAAATATCAATCCAGTTTTTTTTTGTTGTTGTTGAATAACCACTAAATGATTTCATACAGTCAATTATTGACAATTATATGCAGCTTCTCTGATTCGGTAGGCAATTGTTTGACCGTTACTAATGAGAAGGAGAAGAAGAAGAAGAAGATACAGAACGGTTAAATCATTATACCGGTTAGAATCTATCAATTTATCGGACTTTGTATCATAAGACTGTATTAAGCAATGCTATACTGTTGCTATTACTACTGCTGCTGCTGCTGTTGCTGTTGCTGATATCATAGATTAGTTGAACATTTGAGGAATTTCTAGCATTTAGCATATGTCTTAGTCGACAAACATTGATCAAATTTACGGGGGTAGTTGAATAAATCGATTTGTAATAGTACAACAGAACGACAATTTTTCATGAACTGCTATAAATCGAATTACTTATTGTATGATATATTTCTTCTGGATGACGATTGACCATTTAGTGTTACAGTATTAGGGTAATTGTAGGATGTAAAGTTTTGTCTAGACAAAAAAAAAAAACTGATTGAAAAAATAGCAGTTGTTGCCACTTTTTAACACACTGTTTTTCTATTCTGTACCAACCAAACACCACAAAAAAAACGACCCAACTGATGACTAATCGTTTTATTTATTTGCCTCTGATATTTCGGTAAAAAAAAGAAGCGAACAAAATGTATCAGTTTTTATATTATTTGTATACACAAATATGCAAAACACCAAAAAAACAGATCGATTTGTATTACAAAATTGTTTATTTGCTTTTATAATAGTTTATAACTTTATCAACCAAAAAAAAAAAAAAAACTTTTTGATTTCATTTTTTTAACGTAACATATTGAATAGAAGAATAAAAGATACGAAAAAAAAAAAAACTAGGCTTTTTGCCTTGACTGTTACAGTCAAATATTTGGTATTCGTAGAATGTTTTCAAAAAAAAAAAAGCACCTTTCATAGAAATGTTGAATTTTTTTTCCACCGTCTTATTCCCTTTTCCTTTTTTTTTCAAGATTCTATTTAAATTGATAAAAAAAAAAACCAGTAAATAGTAGTGCAAAAAAAACCAACAGTTAACAACACAGTCGACAAAGTGTTAAATACAGGCATTGTCATCTGAAGACTATTATCAGCTATTGTTCATCAGCCAACACCGAACATCATTTTGATTTAGCTGTAATCGCTGATAATTTCAATAAGTTAATTGATGACGATATATAACACTGTCGATGATCACCGATTTTTGAAGCAGAGGAGAAGTGGCAAAAATAAAGTTGCACAAATCTTTCACTTGATCTATAATTACGTGTCAAGTTTTTCATACTGCTTAATCATTTTGACTTAGTATTATCATCGGACTATGTTTATCTGTTTTTGTTTCGCAAAAGGGTTAGTTATATATGATTATAATTGATGTTGACAATCTGATGTTATAATAATAGTAGTTCTTTATCTGTACAGTTATGCTAATTATATGTAAATTATAAGTTTTATTGTAAGAAATAGTTGCAGTACAAATGCTGCTGCTGCTGCTGCTAATGTAAGTTTGTTTTGTAAAACAGCTATTGCTATCTAAAATTTGTAGTGAAGCCTTTTTTTTTTTCACTTATTTACCAACTATACCAACTCTTTTTAGTGGGTAATCAACGTTTCTGGTAGTTGCTAATAGTTTAAAATCTGAGCAAAATCTGAAGATATCTTAGAATTGCTGTGTGTGTGTGTGTCTGTTTCATAGACAACCCAGTAGTCTGTACCTGATCTTAGCTTTGTACACTTACATGAAAATATCCGGGCAAAAGTCCGGTGTGTTAGTTGTCGTATATTTTGGGTGTTCAGAATCAATTCAAATTATCGTCAATTAGGTAACAGCATTCAACGTATAATTGGATATACCATTG